GTCAAATGTGTGATTCATTCTGTGGAGGTGAGTGACTTTAGGCCCTTGTGATTTTGGATCATTGTTGCAGATGTGTATTCTGTGATTCTTCAGTATAAATGGTGCCCTGTCATATCTAGCACTGCCTGCAACCCAGACAGTTGAACCTCTGTGTGATGGTGGCAATTTATGATGAGATTATAGTCTCTGGCTTATACATGATTCTTTCTAGAGTTTTTCAGGGTGTGTGATGCCTGGTGGCTTGGAAAGTTTTTTAGTGTTGTTTTGTTTCCTGGTGTATTTTTTGATGAATTGCTGAGGTGGAGATGGATTTGTTCTTACTGGATGTGCTGTGATGGTAGTTGAGTTCTGCTTTTATAGAGCTGGTGAGCTGCAAAGTGTTTTTGCTCTGTTGATGATGGTTCTTACACAGCTGATCTCTTGTATTTGTATATTAGTTGCTGTAGAAGTTTAAGATTCAGTCTGGGTGGGTGACTTCTGTAAACTTGAGTTTGCAACTTACCATCATTTAATTTAATGATGAACATATCTAGAAACAAATGTTTGTTCCCTTTCTACGTCTCTATGGTAAATACGATTCCCGAGCAGATATTGAATATTTGAAATACACTTTCTTTTTGGTTTTCTTTTTAGGATGAAAAATAGTAATTAACTGATTTGTGCTTGGGATTAGATCTTAGAAAGAGCAAAGGTTTCTTGGTGTTGCATAATAAGGCTGGCATCATTTCCATCCACTAGTCAGTTGATTCTTTCCTAGAAGCTGTATTCAAATTCCACACAATCTATAAATGCAAATAAATCCTCATTTCTGAGGAAGCATCCCTGGAATAGGGACAAAACATCTGCAAAAAACCACGATTTTAGTATATTTTCTTATGCCCAGAGGATCCCTACTAAAAGTATGTGCAATGAAGTACAATAAAGCTTGGCTATTCTTACCCCAGGAGATCCTGGTTCTCTGTGAAGATCATCTCTTCAGTTTCATAGGAATGAATGTCATAATACGTAATTTCCAAATCCATGAAATTATTGTCATATTTATATCCTGCCCTTCCTCTAATGTGCTCCAAACAGTATACACAGCATTTTAAAATACTCTGGAAAATTATGGATTGCATCATATATATTGGGTTGTGTATATCCATATTCATTGGCAACTGTGGCAGTCAAGTAGTGAAATTAAAGTGGGACGGAATCCCAACTTCCTTCACATACAGAATACATAAATAAGATTGCTGTGCAAGAGGAAGCAAGAAGGCCACCCATCCCATTCCATCTATGGAAGCTGAACAGATTGGCAGTTAGATCCTGTTGCATGTATTTGAATATCTGAGATATCTGCTTTTATTTTGCTGAGTGACTGGACCAATGCTGGACACACATAATATTTATGGAGGGTTTCATCTGGCTTTTTACTGTATAAGAATGATTCTGAAATGTTGTTAGCTCAGCTCAGTTTTGAGTCACATAAGTAGCCACACCTTACCTAGCTGCAGTGCGGTGTCATTGAAGCAAGGATTGAGAGTTATATTTTAAAAAGAGAGAGACCATTATCCGAAATTTAGGATTGAATCACTTAGCTTTTTGTAACAGGCATGTGAAATAAAAGCTTGACATTTCACACTGAAATCTTTACCAGTTTTCCTTGTTCATTGCTGCTAAAGACTAATGGCAGATGCTTCCTTTTAGATGACCTATGTTCCTTCAGAGGGAACACGCTTGCAATTGTAACCTAGTTTAGAGGATTTTCCAATGGATTGTATTGTTAGTTTCGTTTAAGAAATATTTATGCAACACTATTTTGAAAAAACACACAAAGGAATTAGGATCTTTTGCTTAATTGTTAATAGAAAATCAAGAAGGTCGTATGATTCAACGGCATATTTTTTTTAAAAATGCCATTTAACTAGACCAGACTGACTATCAAGTGGTTGGTATGAAGAGTGAGAACTCTGAAAGCAACTTTGTTGTCTCTTATGCCCTTCAGATTTCAGCCTACATCATGTTCAGTAGTAAGTAAACATTTAAAGAGTAAAGAGAAATTTGCCCAGACATTTTATTCATATTATGTTACATCTTCAAATTTAAGCTTGTGTGCAAATTTATTGTAATCCCATAGCTGTGACATTTCATTCCCTGAAAAAACATTCTTTCTTAAAAGCAATCACACCCAAAACCAGCGACGGGAGGTTATGGTTAGAAAGGATTTAGACATCTTGACTTGAATGTCAGACTTGTTTGTTTTGGAAAACAAAAAAGCCTACATTTTTTCAATATTAAATTTGTAAAGAGAGTCAGGGCAGTTAAAGACAATTATTTCCTAGAAGGATGCTCATTAAAAATGTTTTAATTGGACTTACTTGCATCCAACATGAATTCAAACATAAAATTTGCTTTCAGAAGAATAAAAATAATTTAAAAAATGACTGCAAATGCAGCCTTGTAATATTATAATGTCATAATATTTTAACTCATTAGATATGTTGTAAGAAGTACACCTATAAGGCGTGTGTTGATGCCTTTTATAAAATAGAAACATGAAACATATTTGTAAAAGGCCATTTATCAATAGACTTTGTGATTCCTCCTGTGGAGAAACATTTGCCATGGATTTTAGCTTACAAGGTCAAATAATACAATTTTCTTTTTTCAGCCCTCAGCTTTGCAGCAGTTCTTTATATTGTTCAACATATTGTCATGGGTACAGTTAAATAATATTCCCTTTAACGGAGGAATTCAAATGACTACTTAATAGCATTGGCTTTACCCTGTATTCAGTGGTGGGATTCAGCCGGTTTGCACTACTTCGGCAGAACCGGTAGCCAATTTTTTGTTGCCTAGGCCCAGAATGGACTTCTGGAGGCGGCATGCACACAGAGAACAGTTGTTCACATATTTGAATCCCACCACTGCCTGTATTACTATAACCGAATCAAACTTGGGCAGCAAAGTTCATAAGGGGAGCAAGGGGGTGGGTTAGACAACATAAACAGTGTTATAGCATTGAAACACCAGCTCTGTCCCTTTTCTACACACATGGAAGTGTCATGCTGGCTACTTGAGCTCAAGAATGAAACAGAGATTTTAATTAAAAAATGGGTGTTAATTTTCTACAGGCATAAAACTTTTCATACTTGACCTATGCACAATTACGGTGGTGACTGGGGTGATTTCTGCATATAACAAAATAGGTGTGGCATTAAATAATTACATAATGGGCAGTGTTTCATTAAATGATTACAAGACATAATCAGATTAGTAATTAGGGGAAGTAAGTGAAAGATATCTCATATTTGAAACTATGATTTCCAGGATTATTTGGGAAAGAATTACAATATAAATATGCACAATTTGAATATTTTGCAAGGTTTCAAGTTGCTTTGGGCAGATTTTTTTTAAAAAAGATATAAAGACAAATTAAAGGTACAGATCCATTGTCATATTTTTGTATGTAGGAAAAAGAGTTGAAGGGGAAGTTTTCTGCAAAAGAAAAATCAAGTGTGGATACTAGATAAAGTTGCTAGATATACCAGAAATTGCTATTATATTTACATCTTATTTAGTATCTTTGGGATGATCAACATGCATGTTAAATTGGGAAGAAAATTAAACACCAGGAGTAGAGACAAAAACCCATATCCTTACTTTTCTATAGAATTCTATACCAACACTAATAGTGTACATAAAAGGTAAAAGGGATAGTTTACCATAATCTGATAGGGAAAAATTCCCTGTGTTTAACAACTGTATTTACATTGGAGTGTATTCTGTATATTGGAGCTACTTTTAGTTTACATATGATACATAACTAAAATGTAAAGGTCAGGTTCTAAAGAACTGTGTTATTTTTTCATGCCAAACATGGTTATGAGCTGTTGCTCTGAAACAGCAGGGTTTTATTAGAATTAAATTATTAAAAACTGATGGGAAGTCATCTGAAATCTTTTATTTGAGAATGGAATCAACATTTAAAATTTTCATAATCATGTATCAATAGGGAATTACTAGCAATAGTGCATTGTGATTTTTTATTAAAAAATGAATAGATCTAAATTTCTACCACTTTTCTGTCAATTCTAAGGCTAAAATAGCTTTTTGGATTCTGAATAATGAAGCAATGTTTTATGTTAATAGCTCAGCATTTGGGATTTAAACATGTAGAGACCTTGTGTCTTTATTTTCTTGGGAGAAAAATATTTTGGTATTCAAATTTCTGTTTAAATCACATATAGCATCTTTATCTCTGTATAATCAGAGAAAGGTGGTTGTTGCTGTTTTTTGCTTTATGATTAAAATGGAAATTTAAATGAAATTTCACAAATACTTTTACAATACATGATATGCTGCCTAAATCTGTTAACAACCTGTATATTTCTATTGTTACAGCAGAATGTTGTCATTCTTAAGGACTGCTATACTGATTGTAATTCACACAGGGTCTTATTCAGAGATACAGAATTAATATATGCCATTTTTTTCTAATGATACTTTTTTGTCTGGTTGCTTATGTTGACTAACTGTTTTAAGATGAAATTAAACTATGCTGAATTTGGAACAGTTACTGTGCAACTGCTTTAAAATACAGTAAGGAATTCCAGAATTTTACAGTTCCTATAAATCACTTTGTGCACAATTGCATTCCCTTACCATGGTGTTAATAAGTACAAAGACGAAGTGATATGTCAGTCCAAATATTACTCAACAGCAGATATATACAAAAGGTAAGGTGACCAACCGTCCTCCTTTAGGGAGGACAGTCCTCCTTTTGTAAATTCTGTCCTCCCTTGAAAAGTGTCCTCCTACATGTCCTTCTTTTTGATATTTGAAGACTAATCTTCAGGGCCTTTGTTTTTCTCATAGAACGCTCAGAACGGCATTCCGGCACCTTTTTTGATTTTTTTTTCAACTTTTGCATGAGCTGTGCTACTCCCCCTATTGGCTTTCAAAAGCCAATAGGAATTGCTGTTGAGCACGCCAAAACACCCGGCCGGCAAACTTTGCACATGCAAGTTGTCTGCAGCGAAAGTGAATTGGCAGGAACTTTACCCCTTCCTGCTACCCAACTACACCATCTCCTAGTTAGTTTCGAAGATACCTGGAGGACACTGGAGCGGTAAGTTTCTCTTGAACTTCGGCTCTGCTAGGACAATAATGGTTGCAGGCACAAGAGACAGGGACAGCGGGGGTGCTGTGAGTGGGGGTGTGAGGGGCGGCAGGAGCTGGCTGCCCCCCATGCTGTGGGAGCCACGGGGCCCTCTCTACATGGGGCTGCGCAGGGTGGGTGGTGGTGATGGGGTGCCTGCAGGCGGGGTGTGTCGACGGTGGGCTGCCCCCCGGAGCTGGAGCTGGTGCGTCTGGTACTTTGGGAGTCACGGGACTGGCTCTACACGGGGCTGCGCAGGATGGGCAGTGGTGCTGGCAGGGTGGCTGCAGGCAGGGTGTGTCGATGGCGGGCAGTTGACCTTCCATGGGCCGGGCCAGCTTTTACGATATTTTTTTCTTCAATTTATTTGTGTCCTCCTTTTTATTGTAAAAAAGTTGGTCACTTACAAAAGGCCCTGTTAGTGATTCCTCCATTATGTAAACTATCATGTTTCCAAAGGCAATATATCAGCATTTTCTTAAATTGGCAGTGCTCCTATATTTTGGCTTATGACTAAATAACGTTAGGAGATTCTGTTTCAGACAAGAATAATTTTTCTCTGATTTTTTTGATTTGCTACCTATAAATAATAAAAACATTATTTAGCAGCAAATCTAAAAAACAAAAAGGGGTAGGGGAAACATCTAGTCACAAGTGATCTTTATTAATTAGAATACTGTATAGTGCTGTATTTTGTTACCCTTCTTCGAGTTGTACCAGGAGAAGCTGTTCCAATTGTTTGACTAAGAAGATTATCAGAAGCCAACAATGGATTAGGACCACCACTTAGATTTCCAGGGCCACCACTTGCTCCTGTTCCAGACACAACTCTTTCAGTTACAACCACATTATGGGCATTTGATATATCAGAAGGGAGGGTCATGTTGCCATGTACGCTAGCAGCAGGTCGAATTACTCTTTCGGTCACAACTACATTTGACCCTTCGGTCAGATTGGGAATGCTCAAAGAAGCTGGTAACCTTGAATTAGGAGCAATTACTCTTTCTGTGACCACAACATTTGAACCACCTGGTAGGTCAGGAATATCTATCATGCCATGGATATCGGTGACTGGGGCAGAAGCCAGCATTCTTTCTCTGACCACAACATTTGATCCACTCAGAGAATCAACATTAAATGTGGGGGGTTTCTTTGTTGAGCCTGAAGTATATGTTTCTGTTACAACTACGTTACCATGGAGCATAGGATCAGGTATTGGCCTTGGAGGTTGTACATTGGAAGTGGTTGTGTAAGTATTTTCTCTAACAACGGTGGTACCACCAACAGCAGTAGGTTGAGGCATAGATGAAGATGTGTTAACAACAATTGTGCTTCCAGGTGGTGGCAGATTTACCTCAATATCAGGATTGGGCAGAGGCATACTGGGATCTGGGAAGGGCTCAATCTCTCTTCCCAAGCAGATCTCTGCCAAGGTCTTAAACTTAGGACCCAGTGTATCCAAATAGGAATCGTCCAGATCATCCCCAATAAAACTGCAACAGCCAATGGAACCAGCAGGAGTGCCTATGCCCTCATGATCATATATTAGGAGACAATCATTTGCAGGTCTGCCTTCATCTTCATCAGCGTAGGCAAATGCTTTCTAAAAATGAATAGGCAAGAGAGAATTAGCATTGTTTATCATTAACATGAGAAAGAATATCAAAATATTCTCCAAAAAGGTAAGTACTTAAAAGCTGGGTGATTAATTTGAATTTCAGTTATACCAACTGCTTCAAATTGAATCCAAACTGATGTATATTCCCATTCCACAACATGGATAATTTATATTTATTCCATACATAAAATTTATTTCATACTGTGGAGAGGCAGTCCAAATTTTGCATCAAGGAATATCAAATACTCTAAGTTATGAACACTTTGCACCATTACTTGGCATAATATAGTTTAGGTTTGTATTCATAAATATGAACATAACTCTAAGCAAATATACCTAATAATGACTTATTACCATTCTCCATATTTTGTTAGGTATAGTATAATGGTTTACCTCAGAGAAGTAGCTGTCTAGGAAAGCCATATTCACACCACTTTCTCGGTACTCTTTTATTCCTCCAAATGTATCTTTCCGTCCCATTGTCCCATAGCCAGTGGTTGTCCCATAACCAAGTGTAGTTCCATAGCCTTTTGCTGCTCCAAGTCCTGTTGTTTCTTCAACTCTTGAACTCACCATTCTTCCATCACCATATTTAGTTGTGTAGATATCTGATAATGATGATTATTTATTTATTCAAAACAAAATAAAAGGACAATACAATCACCTGTCCTCAAGGCCTGGGAAAATAACTAGCTCTTCAGCAGCTTATTGAATAATGTAAAGGTGGTAGCCAAACAACTCACTAAGGGGAGATCATTCTAAAGGACAGGAATTGAAACAGAGAAGGTACAATTCCTGGGTCTTGCAAGATGATATTGTTTAATTGAGGGGACTTGCAGCATGCCCGCTCTGCTGGACCCAGTCACATGGGAAAAGATGATAGAGATACACAGTTTCTCAGGTAGCCTGGCCATATGCCTTGAAAAGCTGTAAAGGTTATAACCAACAGTTTGAATTGTTCTCTGAAGCCTAGTAGTAACTAGTGCAACTTGCAAAGCAGCAAAGTGATGCACATATAATACTGCCTCATTGTCTGTGTCGTCGCATTCTAGACTGGTTGTAGCTTCTGGATGGTCTTCAATAACAACCCCAAAAGGTCTTATTAATCACAGCTTTCACCTGTTCTTTGAGAACTGAGAGTTCAAGAGGATTGCACACATCTTAAATGGGTAATTTCAACACAATGGAACACCAGAAATGGAGAGTCAGCAGTCGGGGGACAAATAGACATAAAAACTCAGTCTTGGTAGGATTCAGCCTGAGGCTGTTCTTCCCCATCCAGGTCTAAAGTCTCCAAAAATGGGGTCACTAACTCAACCAATCAGGGGTCAAGATGTACAACATCATCCGCATGCATGTTACATATTGATGATATGTGACACCAAACTGGAAGATGATCTCATCCAGCATTTTCATGTGAACAGAAGGGGACATGTCAAGCTCTGTGGCATCCAACATGTAAGGGCCTGTAAGCAAGTTTTCTTTCTACCTGTCAACACCGGTTGAAATCAGCCACAGAAAATAGAGGAGAACCATCATAAAACAGTGGCTATGATGATAATTATAGTGTTGATGATGACACCTAATAGTTTCAAAGAACAGTTTCAATTCGCTGATCAATTAAACAGTGCAAAGCTGAATGTAAAACAACTGAGGCCCAATTTCTATTGATATGCTGTGAATATTACGGTCACTCCTATGCTCCTATGCAGACACTCTTTGTATAACAATTTTTGTAACTGTGGATTTTTCACGGGCCCACAGAGATTCCATTTTCATAAATTATAAGAATTAGATGTAGAATAATAAGAACACATTCACTCCTTTACTGCTATTTCTATCCCCATCAACTATCAGAATTTGTTAGTTAAATGTCACTTTATTTACCTGAAGAATCTGCAAACTCCCCTTTAGTTGCAGCAGTTACTGGTGCACAGATATTTGACACATCCTGGAAAGAAAGCCCAAGCTAAGTTATTAAAATATACTTTTTAAAGTAACATAAGATTGGTAGAAACAAGACTTTAGATTTGTGTGGAAGTATGTCTTAGTTTGATTATAGAATCTATTATAGTTCCTTGTGACAGTACTGTCAATGGATCCATCTGGTTTGGTATCAGCACATAAGTGATCTTGGCTTGGTTTGGAAGCAATCAGTGTTTGGACCTGATTAGTTACTGGGATGGGAGGCCATTGTGGCAAAACATCCTGGAATAAGGTAGCAGCAAACCATTATTGTAGAGTTACCAACATCCCCCTCCCCCCCCCCAGATGGTTGTGTTCACAGAGTCACATTGGGCATGTAGAAAATAAAATAGGTGACATTGACAGAAATATATGGAATCTGTTACCTAAGGCAAAGGGGGCTAAATATTTTTCAGGTGCAGAATGAGATAACATTCAGAAGAAAATTAGTCAGATGCTTCCCTAATTCACTGGACTATAAGAAGGAAGTACAGCAGAATCGGACTTGCAAAATTCTGTTATTTATACTAATCTCAATAAAAGTAATATCAGCCTTCTTGTGGGGTTGATTTCCTGTTCTGAACTTCCTAGTTGAACTCAATGGCAACTTTTCCTTTGGCTGGAAAAGTTGGGTACCTGCTGAGGTTCATCACTAATAATGTCTTCTAGGCTTCTTTGTTGCTGATTCTGCCTATTCATCTGTCCTTTCTGAGAGTATGTCAGTGATTAAGCAATGGAAAGCAAAGGCAGCCTGTGCTTTTCTTTCTTAACAAGGTACAGATTGGCCTCCTAAGTCATGAAAAAAATGGAGAACTACTGATGGACAGTGGCAAAGAGGCTCCCTAGTCTAAGATGGGGTAAAGATTTTCTGTAGTCAACTCCTAGCCTTTGGTCTTGGTGGTTGGGGATCTGGTGGGAACTCGGGCTAATGCATCTGGAAGGAACTAGTTGATTGATGCTGAAATAATATGTATCTGCATGTAGATATTTGGGAATATGCACATGTCTCTGTGTGTTTCAGTGAAGAACTAACCCGGTCTTCAGGCTGTGCTCCTTCAATTCCCCAGGAATGGATAGCTCCTTCTGTGCATTCAGGCACAGGCTCAAATCCAGCTCCCACTCCACCAGCCTGTCTGGATCCCAGATAACCCAAACAATCACTCTGTGACATCAGAATTGGTACCACTGATAAACCAAAAAAAACCAAAAAGTTATGTACTTTTCATCAGTAGACTAAATATTTGATTTGTATATAAATAGAGGCACAAAATAATGTGGGACCAGTCTATTTCTAGTCTACAATGTCTACTAAAGCCATATAATCATTTCTGGAGATTTTTTGCCCCAGGTTCCTTTACAGGTTGAACTGTGCTGGGGGCACAGTTATCTCAGCTGTCCCCCTGACATTGGAAACCTTTTCCTGGACAGGCACACCTGGCATCTTCATTACTGCTTTTTTGTGCTAGACACACAATTCTTAAATTTTAATTGCTTCAGTGCCATGTATTAATCATTGTATAGCTGTTATCTAAAGCTTTTAAAATCCTTTTTGGTGATCATTGTCATTATTTAATGTGGTATTTTGGTAGCTTAACAGACATATTCTTGGGAAAATTTTGCTTTGAAAATCAAAATCACATTCTTAAATAAATGAACAAACATTTTTCAGGATAATAGCGAACACTTTTTAACATTATCAGCATGTGTATTTCCATTCAGCAGATGATGCATCTCAAGATGGACATTATGAGTAGAACACTTTTTAACTGAGCGTTTGTTTTTTTTTTTGCATGGAGAAATTGAGACTAAGTTCATAGCAACATTCTAGTGTTGTCAATGTACTTTACTAGTCAATCTTTAAAGCAAAGTTTGAGGATGCAAAAAAGAATTGTTTTCAATTATTCCTTCCCAATTAATGGGAATCAAAAGGCCTATTTTACAGAACCATTATATACTGAGCAAAAAGTTTTATAGAAGTCAAAAATCATATTATATAGAAAACACATTTTTAAAAAGGAATAAATCTATCCTTATAGAATACTTACACACAAATATTAATCCTCCAAGAAACATCAGGCCAATGGCAGCAGCACTAAGAGAGGTTTCTCCACCATTTTGCCTTGCTCCTCCTACGTCAATAGCATGCCCACTAGTGCCACCATGCCCATGTGTGTCATCAATGCCACCTGTACCACCACCACCTCCAGTACTACCTCCACCTGTTCCCCAGTCAGTGCCACCTGTTCCCCAGTCAGTGCCACCTATTCCTCCTCCACCTGCTCCTCCACCACCTGCTCCTCCACCACCTGCTCCTCCTCCACCTGCTCCTCCTCCACCTGCTCCTCCACCACCTGCTCCTCCTCCACCTGCTCCTCCTCCACCTGCTCCTCCACCACCTGCTCCACCACCACCTGCTCCTCCGCCACCCGCTCCTCCACCGGCTCCACCACCACCAATAATTATAATTTTGACTCTCTTGGTAGCCATTTTGACACACATTCCATTTTGATCACAGTGACAGGCCTGCAGAGGAATTACCAGTGGCCTTTGGCAGCTTTTGCCACTGTTGTCGATCACTTTGACTTGGACCTCATAAATTATGAACTCTATGTTGTTAGTGAACAGAGCTGCTGAAGTAACTGGAGGGAGAAATAAGGGAAAGGACTACATTAAGAACTCTGCTTTGAAATCTCTATAATCAAAGTTCATTCTCTTAAATAATTATTGTGAATTTGACTATGAAAATTCAATGAACAAAAAGTCTCTAACAGGATAAGCATAACATATATGTATATTTGTGTGTGTGTATTCATGTATGTATACATGCACACACATATACAAGTAATTCTTGATTTATAATCAAAATTGAGACCAGAATTTCTGTTGTAAATCATTATGATGATAAGTTGAGTCAAACTTAGTTTTATAACAGTTTACATGGTTATTAAGCAAATCCAAATTCTCCAATGGAAATTTTTGACGGAAATTAGGAAAAAAGGTCACAAATCACTATTATGTAACTGCAGGAAGCTGCAGCTGATTGTAAATACAAACCAGTTGTCAAGTGCCTGAATTGCAATCATGTGACTGCAAGGGTGGTGCAACAGTTATAAGTGTGAGTACAGATCACAAATCATTTTCCCAAGGCTGTCATAACCTTGAACCATCATTAAACCAAGAGCCATACATCAAGGACTTTCTGTGTTATCAGTTTGTATCTGGTCTGATCACAGTGATGGCCTTCACCTTTATACATTTTTCTCTTCTTTTTTTTTTTCTCCCCTTTTCAGCCCTGGAAGGTGGGTAAAGACAGGCTCACAAGCTCAAGGTTGGCTCAGCCTTCCCTCTTTCCAATGTCAGTAAAATGAGGACCTAGATTCTTGGGGGCAATATGCTGACTTTGTAAACCGCTTAGAGAAGGCTGTAAAGCACTGTGAAATGGTATATAAGTCTGAATGACATTGCTATTCGATAAAACTTATTTTGTTTCTCCTCCTCCTCCTTATTTCCATACTGCTGACTTTCCCCCCTCCTTCTCTAAAAATAACTGACACTAAGAGAAATGGATGCCACTGCCCCGTAGTGCTGGGATTTGTATATGACTGATGGATTAATCTTTGAAATTCAGATAGATCAATAATTCAAGGCAATAAAATGCATCAGTTAAAATATCCCCAGAGCTATTTCTTTCTTTGGGTTTCCTTGTATTTATTTGCATATTGCATATTGGAGAAAATATAGTTTGACAAAAAATTCGGAAAAAAGAAAGGGGAGGGGGACTGTAGTGCAGCTGTCTGAAATGAACATTTGACCTCAAGACTTCTTTAAAAAAACCCAAGCCGCCATCAACAGATTCTTATGTGCAACCATCAGTTGCATATATAGTATTCCATATGTGAGAACAATGTTGGACACTCCCCAGCAAGAACAGATATAAAGGGAGGGTTGAATGGGGAAGAAAAGCATATTTATTAAGATGAAAAAACCCTGAACATGTAATTTCACTCACCATTTATTGGTTTTATATCCCATGAGCTGTCTTGAGGCTGAGTGACAATACTAAATTTAAAGGGTGGTCCATATGGAGAATCATCTGGATCTTTAGCTGTGATCACCACGTTTGGATTGTCCATACACACTCTCCTGATCTCCTCAGTCACAATGGGACAATTATCATTGACATCTTGAATAGTAAGCATAATAGTGCCAGTGGCTGTTGTGTAAGGGCTGTCTGCAATAAATAATACCCACGAAGGAAAACAAAATCAAATAAATGTCACAACAATTTATGTTGCACAAGTACAATTAACTCAATGCATAAATAAGATCCCAAGGATCATCTGGAAAAGTTAATTCGAGCAGATGAGGAAATGATGGGAAAAAAAGGACAGTTTTTTAATAGCTGAATGGCATATATAATTTTAAATGCATCTTCCAAAATGAAGGCTAATTTAAAAGATTCCCAATTCAATTATAACATCTGTGGACAACACTAAAAGCATGTAAGAGTAGTATCCAGAGTTTGTCAGATCTCTAAGTACATAATAAAGACTACCAAAGACAAGATTAAAAAGTGTGGGAGGAAGTGGTGGTTCTTAGTACAAATTTTGTTTGCATCCCTGTGCAGCTGAACAGCAAATTGTTAGCAATGCAGTTTCATGGCTGGCTGGGGAATTCTGCAAGTTGACGTCCACACATCTTAAAGTTGCCAAGTTTGATCAACATTGCTATAGAGATTTAAAACAATCAGCAAAATGTTTGTTCATGATGTTTAGGGAAGTGTTTACTTTCTTTTATTTAAAAGTTACATAGAACACTTTTGCACTTAGTCAAAACAGCTAGGATTATAAATATTTAGAATAGTAATTCCATATTTCTAAGTGTGTACTGCTTATGAGCAATAATGAATATTAAAACAAAATCTATGATCTTACCTCTGGTAATAGCAAGCACCTCTGCTGTGTATACTCCTTTGACTACATAAATTGATTCTCGATCAATAGTTTTCTTAAAGGTGATCACAGCTGTTTGAGGATTGATTTGAAACCAGGCAGCAGGATCACGGCCTATCTCATACCTGTGTTTTGAACAATGGAAATGCTTAGAATGAATTATGAATGGTAAAATAGTGGCAGATACTAAACTTTTGCTAATGCATGCTGTCCAATTTGATTGACTCGTTCATTTGTACATAAAAACAAAGAATTCTGACATTTGCAGTCCTAATAATTTCTGAGGGTGCTAGCCAATTTTTTTCTTGAAATAGCACAGGAATAACATGTATTCCCTTTTTCTCTCTGTCAAAATACCAGCTAATAATCACACTGAAGCATTTCATACTCGACTATGGTAAGCAATTTTCAGAAATATGGAATATTCTAACGTACACTATGTTTTTTGTCAAAAAGTCTCAAAAGGTTTGCAACCCTTGCCAAGGCTGAATATCAATTCTGGATTCACTGGCTGAATTTTGCCATGAGACATTGAGCCCCATACTAGTCAGTATGATTTAGCTTAGAATCGTGAATGAAATATAATACTTGAGGTTGATTTATGGTGAATATCCTGTTTTGGGGATTTGAGAAATAAAAGTTCTAAATATATACAATATATTTAAACCAAAACCATATGAAAGCGTAATTCATTGAGGGAAGACAACATTGAAGTAGAGAAAAGTCTGCTTAAGGGCATGACTTTCGGTATTCTAAGCAATTAGTTATCCCTTTCAATTTGATTTAGCTGAACACATAAGTTTCAGGCCAAAAGCTATCTTACCGAATATTTGTGGCAACTTTTCCAGTATCCTGATCAATGGCTTGGAATGTCCCAACCGTGTAAGTGAGTATAGTTTCACTTGTTAAGCTCTCAGATGCAGTGATGGTCAGTGTAGATGGACGAAAAGCTGGTCCTTCAATTACATTAGTTATCTGTACCACAATTGGGGTTCCAATAGGTTGATAAAGAGAAGCCACTGAAGAGTGGAAAGGGGCGATATTTCGCACACCAATATTAATGTTTATGGTTGAAAATTGTTCATAATCAAATTCCTAAAATAAAGAAATGGCATACATCAACTTTTCATTTGAATTATGTGTGTGTGTCTGTCTCTCTCTCTGTCTTTCTGTGTGTATACACACACACACACACACACACACACAAACAGAGAGAGAGAGAGAGAGAGAGAGAGAGAGAGAGAGAGAGAAAATATTGTCACCATTCAGGTGTATATTGTATCTGTTGTATGCACACATAAAACATGTCTCTTAATAGTATATCCAGATATATATATATAATCTTAATAATATATCCATATATATATAACATAGTCTTTAATCATGTAGAATGACAGATCATCCAAGAATAGGAAGAAATAATTTCTGAAATAGAGCCAGCCATTCAAAAACTTCTAAGTACAAATAAAGAGGAAGATTGGAGATTCTTCTGAATATTTAAAAAAATGATGCTAATGAAATCAAATACCACCAAGAAACAAATTAACTCCATTAGGAATATGAAGCTAAATAAATATATATGTATTGTTTATTTATTTATTTATTTATTTATTTATTTATTTCCTCATTCTGAGCAGAATTGCCTTAAGCCTTTTAAAAAATGAATCAGTGTGAGTATAGAACAATAGTAGCTTAAATGATAAGTATTATAAATGTATATATTTACAGAATTTAATATGTAAATAAAGTCAGTAGAGATCTTGATCATTTTCAACACCTTCCTTTTCCATTGTGATGCCTATGCTTTGTTGCCAACTTCCAAACAGCTGATTGTTGTGCTGGTTGCAGTGACCCAACTCTATAACTGCTGCTAGTCTTATCTTCAATAGTCTCTCCCCCCCTCAATTGACTGCATCTAGGGCAGACCTCCACTACCTCTGCCTCATCCTGCCCTTGGTAAGTTATATATACTTGTATCACATAAATAAGATTTAACAATCAATTTAGCTGCTTTTGGCTCATAGCCAAGGCATACAATGATATAGTTCAGGAAAGACTGCAGAAGTAGGCTAGATAATTTCCATTTAATAACAAAAAATCTCTACAGAGACATTGTTCTGGGCGCTACTATCATAAACAAAATGCCAGGGAAGATGACTGATTATCACACACTCAAAATCAAAAAGTAAGTTTAAAAAATAATAAAAGAAAATTTGAAATTCATACCTTTACAACACTCATGATACCTTCATTAGTCGTTCTGTCTATTGTGATCTCAAAGTTGTGGTTTTCATTTCCAGAGATAAAGAAAAATTCTGCAAACCAGTTATCTGTAAATTCTTGATCTGCATCAAATACCTGTATCCTCAGCAGCTCCCGACTCAGAGAATTTTCTAGAATTGATACTGAAAACTAAAAGAGAAAGAACATCCCAGTTGGCAATGAAGACATGTATTAGATTCCCGTCAGTTTGAAAGAAATTTGGCATACTACACAGTGATTTCAAATGCAACAAATAGCATCCACTTCTGTTCTTTTATTATAAGTTTATGATATTAAAGGTAGTTGTACCTCAGGCTTACTTATTGGGTAATATACAAAAATTGTGGATAAACATGGAAAGAGTGTTTTTAATCTGGAGAAGTGAAAACTTTTTAAATGTTTTTTAATCCTGAGAATAGCTTGACCCTATTCGAACATATACTTAAACATAGGAGCTTAATGCTCTCAGACTACAGAGTGTCACCTTGCTACTGCAAAAATTATATATAATTTATTTTAGATGTTTGCTCGTGCTGCCTAAATTGGATGAAATGAGCCACCAAGATCATACAACTTCATACATGAAGGGCTACTCACTATAGAAGTCTATACTGTAGACTCAAAACAGAGTTAGCAGTATGACCTCATTCATGGCATGTGTATTCGAGAGAATAGAGTGAATAAGTGCAATGAACTCAAAGATCATCCTTAGTTTACTATAACAATCCTACCTGCTCACTTTTCTATTTCCATCATATCTGCTAGAGCATAGTAATTTCCTCTCTTCATTTTTCTCTTTGCTTTTATTGGGCAGTAGCTATATTATCACTCATGATGACAACATGTTATTATGAACAAGCAACTTCAATGTCAGGAAGAGGAATCTAGCCTTCAATTGTATGTTTTGTGTTCTCTGAAGAATTTATTTTAGAGAAAAAGTTCATTCATTATATGGTGATGTGGAAGTAGCACTGCTGGCCTAGGTATACTCAGGACCATATTACTTGTCCTATGTATTTTTTCATCAGAACATCATTTTATACATGGTTACACAACAATGAAGATAGATTTTCACTGAGTGTTAATTCACCAATGATATGTAGTCAATCCCATTTGTTTTAGAGGTCAGATCATATTTTATATAATTTATGATTCTTTTAAAATTATTTTCATGCCATTAACACTGAGTTATGTTAGCTTAATTTTTTTTTTAAAAAACCCTATCTTTAATGCATGTTGCCAATTGGTAGCTGGGAGAAAAATTGAAAGACTGAAACATAATATTGCATAAGAAGGATGTGGAGGAACTGGCTTTTGGTTCCAATGAATCTAAAACTACCGTATTTTCTGGCGTATAAGGTGACTGGGCGTATAAGACGACCCCCAACTTCGGCGCCAATTTCCATGCCTAGAAAGTCATCTTATATGCCAGAAACTACCATTATTTCCGGCGTATAAGACGACTCGGTGTATAAGATGACCCCCGACTTTGGCGCCGATTTCCATGCCTTAGAAAATCATCTTATATGCCGGAAAATACGGTACTCCTTTTCTGGAATAGATCTGTTGATTTCCACTAATTGTCTACTGCAATGAATTAGTGAGTGAGGAAGAATAATTGTAAAATCAAGAATTACCAGACTGAAACGAAACTAATGATGGATCATATTAGCTATCAAGTAAGCTTACCGAGCTCTGTGAAAGAGTAGGAAAATTATCATTCACATCCTGAACTTTAACCTGACACAAACATTCTGATGATATTCCATCTGGCCCTCCATTTCTATCTGAGGCTTTGACAACAAGAGTATATTGACTTTGTTCCTAAAGAAAATATGGAGAAGAAACAGAAGAGGGAATAATATGACAAATGCTTTAAAATCATTTAAATAATAAAGAACATTGGTCTGATCCAGAGCTTCTTAATTTTATGAAATATGGATGTTATATTTTGGAACATATATATATTTCATATATACTGTACATATATATCTTCTTTGCTCTTTCACTGAAATAATTGTTTGGAATAAATGCAGTGCATTAATAAGATTTACTACTAAAATTAGCAAGCACTGGATTACTGAGTTAGAAATAATCAGTATCTCCCCCACTTTATTTGTTTATTCAGTTTATGTGGTTGCCCATCTCACATACATGACTCTGGGTAGCTCACACAATTAATTAAATAAATAAATAAATAAATAAATAAAAACAAATTAAAACCATAAACCATAATCTGGAAGATATAATGCATACAATTACTAGTGGTATAATATAGGATCTATGCCACCATCAGATTTCCCAGGCATAATGATAAAAATGTATTTTAAAGCATTCTGAAAGGCCAGCAGGACTGGGACTGATGTAATTTTAAGGGGAACAATGTTCCAAAGGAGGGATGCTGTGGCAGAAAAGGCCATCCTCCAGGGTGCTGTCAGATGATGTTCCTTAGTACACAGGACCCATACCTATACCATGTCATTTTCTTAGTCATTTTCATGGCATACATGTTGCTTGCAGCTGTTACTGGGTTTCCAGAAATCTCACTTCTTTTCAACACAAGTGTTTATTTCGAATGAATACTTACTGTATTGATTTTATGAATGATTTTATTTTTAACATATTTTGAAAGTATTTGTTTAAGTATGTTTGAAAGTATTCATTTATTTAACAAACTTATATAGCTGCCTAGCCATCAGAAGAAACTCTGGGTAGTGAATAGAACAAAAATACAGGACCCTAAAGAAAACAATAAATACTACTGAGGCCCTGATGAAACTCATAGTCATTGATCCACCACCACCCCATGCCAGTTCCATCAATATCCCGGCCACAGGATATTCTGTTTTCCCAACAATAGTTCTCTGTAAAAGGCATTTCTGTTTTGTTTTTACCTCTCTGTCAAGAGCTTTTGCTATGTGAAGTTCTCCATTCTCTGTGTTCAAGATAAACAGTAATGGGCCTGAAGGAGTCTGGCTTTCAATCTTGTAGGCAATTTTGGAATTTAAATTATTTGGCTCATCAGCATCTGTAGCAGTTATTTTCATTACAAATGTACCTGGAAGGAAGGAAAAGACAAAAGGGGGCAAAAGCTTCAGATGCTAAGATATTAAAACCTTAGAGCTCCATCATTTGTGAAATCTCTAATTTAAGATGCTTATAAAGAAGAAAATGGAGTGCATTTTTTTCATACTAGGAAGGCACATTCATGGAAGGTCAGGGATCAGTTTCTACTGATCTGCAAAGAGTTTTTCAAATTATTTAAACAAACAGCTTGAGTTAATTGTAATGTAATGCTTTGCTTTAATTCTGTTTTTAGGTTATACTTGTCTTTTACCTAGCTATTATTTCAATTATCTCAGAACAAATGTTGCTGATGAGCCATTTTTTTGTTTGCCCAGTGTTTGCCTATTCAGCAATATTAAGTGATAGTGATCATAGGTGGGGGGGTGGGTGGGTAGTTAAATAAGGAAACAGATACCAATAAAAGAGAATATCTGTAGCTCAGGATTGAAATGAGGGGACCTTGGTGCTCTCTGAGCTTGCTTGTTTTCTTGCAGACATTTAATTACCAAAACCATAATAAATGGTATAAATATACAAAACCTGTGAATTACACACCAATGTTAGACATTGGGTGCAACACCTCGTTACATATGATTATTTTGACATAATCTCAATTTGCTGTTGACAGATGCCATAGCAGGTTAGGCCCTCTTAGGCCCTAAATGTTTTTGGTGGATAGATGGAGCACTGACTATATTAGTTGTATAGTCAGTGCTCCACCTGTCCACCACAAACTTATAATAGTTCATTTAGTGATCCTTTAAAGTTACAACATCACTGAAAAAGTGACCATTTTTCACCCTTATGACCATTGTAGTATCCTCATGATCATGTGACCAAAATTTGGATGCTTGGCAATTGGTTTATATTTATGACAGTTGCAGTGTCTCCAAGCCTTTTGAGACCTTTTGACAACTAAAGCCAATGGGGAAGCCAGATTCACTTAACAACCAGTTTATTAACAACGATTGCAATGATTCATTTAACAACTGTGTCAAGAAAAGTTGTAAAATGGAGCAAAACTCACTTAACAAATGTCTCTCTTAGCAACATAAATTTTGGGTTCAATTATGGTCATACGTTGAAGACTATCTGTATATTCCACTGTGGATTAATCAAAGAATTGAGAAATATATCAAATGTGATCAAGAATAAGCCAGGGAACCATAAACAGGCCACACTAATGTGTGTATTCATAACAGAGGAAAAATGTGACTTACTGTTACAAAATCAATTGTTATGTATTCACTGACCAAGATAGCATATCTTGATATCGTGCTTTATTATTTATTTATCTTCAAGATATATCCTTAGCAGAAAAAAGAAAGTCTCCATTTTCCAGTTTTCAAAGTGAAACATTTGTGAGTAGTGACACAAATGCCAGTGCGTTCAATATGGGAGAATTAAACCCCAATTAATTTCTCTGTTGACAAAAATGGGACCCATGGCACAATCCGGTGCATCTTCCTAAGTGCCATTAAATTAATGAATACTCTACTCCCAAGAAAGATACTGCTGCATTCATTTACATGTTTTTCAGAAATTAGGAATTATGCAGGTGTCAAATGATACATGTAACCATATATATTGGCTACTATTCTGGGTAGGGCACATTTATTTAGAAAGTACTTACTCTCCATGCTGCTTTCTATTATTGACCCTGAGAACATGTGTTGTGTAAACATTGGTGGATTGTCATTTATATCCAGAACGCGAACACGAAGATCAAGAGGTGTTTCTACTGATTTTCCAGTCATAACATTTATAGCATGACAGTGAATCTGAATTAAGGTATTAAAAAAAGGTAAACAGCTTTATTCAAAAGGACAATAAAGTAGTCAAAATCTTTCAATAGTGAGCTAAAGAAACTTCATCCCACATTGCAAGAATTCAGGTCATCTTTGACCTAATTACAAAATGATTTCTGACTTTTCTCACAGCTAAGAGTGATAAATATAACTCATATAGTAACTCATATAAAAATAGAAGCAAGTGAATAATTTTTAAAAAAAATTATACCAATCATCCAAGAAAAGCACGCCAATCTTATATTAAAAACCATCAACTTTCTAGAAAGATATATAATTTTAATTCTAATTCTAAAACTGAAAGTGGAACCTCATTAAAAAGACTAATTTTTAGAAGTTGTCAGCAGTTACTGTAAAGGCATATTTTTGGAGTCTTAACAAACATGCTTAAAACATCAAGGGGGTCTCAGGAGATCACCTTCTCTATGGGAGGTGAGTGACCATCATTTAGATACTGTAATCATAAACCATAACAGGTAAAGATCTGTTTTGCCACTATTACTTACCACAAACATTGGAGTCTCCTCTCGATCTACTATTTTTGTTATATTAATTTCACCAGTCTTCTGGTTGATGACAAATACTCCCACAGGATGTTGATCAATGCCTACTCCACTTATTTTATATATAATTGGCTGCGTGTTTTCACAGTCTGATCGGATCTGTTTTTGAAAACAAACCAAAAATATTGCAGTCTTTTATCATTATTTTTACCTTAAATAACGTGATAAACTAGGTCTGGTATGGCTCAGTGGGAACCATACTTAAGACATCTGATAACTGACACCATCTGAGACGACTGGATAGGTGCAATTCATTAGGAGGTAGCTTTAATTTAATTTAAATAACTTCTGATTTGTTTGGTTGACCCAGATCATCAAAAAATGAATGTTGTCCTTGATAGGGCAAAGTAACAGTTTTCCCAAGAAAACTGTTTTTTACTCATCAGTTCTGTAGAGTTAAAGAAAGATAACAGTGGAAAGAAAGAAGCATAAGAATAAGGCCCTGCCTATGAAACTACAAGCTGGAAGCCCAGATCATTTCTCTCCCACTTTCTGAGGCTGCCGGTCTGATGCCATGATGAGATGGGTGGAAAAAACTAGGGCTCCGGCTTCTTAGCCCAATTTCTTTTGGTCCAGTGACCCCAAGGGGTTGGAAAGTTGCCCAGACAACGAAGAAGAAGGGAAACTTTGGGAGTTTCAACCAGAAGGCAGTCAGTCCAAACGAACTGAAGAACCTTTTCAAAAGGACGGAGAAAAAACTGCCTGTAAGCACAGGCAGTCCAAATCATCATCAACCAGAAAAAAAGTGAGGTGCCGTGGTCCACCACAAAACAGCTGATTGTCAACAACGTGCTGAAACTGGGTGAGACTGTTTTTATTCCTCTTCCTTATGGACTTGGAAAGAGTGATTCCCTGATTGGAAAAAATTTTCGAAGTAAAAACCCCAGAAAGACTAGGGGAGAAGGGAGTTAAAAGCAGCGAGAAACTACAAGGGGGGAAGGAATTTAAGGAATATAAAATAATACCTAAAAATGGAACTCAGACTGACTTAAAGAAAAACTGTTTAACCCCCAGGAAGTGGAAAATCTTTTTAGATTCAATTTTCAGGGGAAATAACTTAAAGAGCACTTTAAAAAAAACTTTGTAAAAACTTTTTAAACTTGGATATAGACATTTCTCTCCCACTTTCTTTTCAGGGATGAACATGTGCTGAAGTCCTCTTTAATTAAGCCACAAAGTAGCTAGAGTAATTAGATTGAGTATATTGATTTTATCTGAAATTCTTGTGTGTGATTATTGGTCCATTTGTTTTTGTAACAAGTCCCTTTCCTCAACTCCTTTTTATAATTATGCATTTGTCTCCCTTAGTTCTAAATAGAAATGAAAACCTTCCCAATATGCAAAACTACATGGTTCTATATTTAGCCCTTATGCTTAGGATTGTAGCAAATTTTGTTCTATATCCCTGGCCTTTGGGCAGGAAAATCCAAAGCATCTTTTCCATTTTTTAGACTTGAGAGAAGCCTCAAGTATAAAGACTAAGAACTCATCAGCTGCATAGACTGAGGTGGGATATATGTGTTAGAAAAGTTTAGTGGCAACTTATTGTAATTATTTCATATTGTGGAAGTCTTGGGAGAAAACTTTTGTTAAGGTAGCTTTAAATGGTTGTTTCTCACTGATTTAGAGATTTTTCAGATTTCAGTTTTTATGTGAAAACTTAGTAAATAAAAATCAGGGGAATGGTATGCTTTAGCATAACTTAATTAATATAATAATACATATTCCAGTGCTGAGTCTAGCTAGCATTACCAATTTGGTATTGACTGTAAGGAAAAAATATTGATGAGTAAAGAAAAGAAATTTTGTGCCCAGCAGGATCTATGGATGAATCTTTTTTTACATAATATTTTTATTTCTAAAAAATTACAGTAACTATAAATACTGCAATAAAATTCAGTGCATACACTGAAAGGAAAGGAAAACAAGAAAAACTATTCATAAAACCAGATATTAATAATTCCTTTATATTCCTCCCATACAATAATATATTCATCTGGAAAAAAACAAGTATGTCTCCCCTGCTTAACATAACATATAAAATCAGACCAAATATTTGAAAAACCTGTAACTTTAGTTTGACAGCATGCAAGTGAAAAATGTAGCTCAATTTTTAGCTAGGGAAATATGCAGAATCTTTTGATACACATATTCCTAGTACTCCAAAATGATTGTGTATTTCATCTGTTCCCTCATGTTTGTGGGGGGAAACACAGAAAAAGAAGACAGTACAGTAAAATTGGTAGGGAGAACAGCAAGTTTACCTATGGGAAATATTTGAACTCTACATAAAACTCCATTGATGAGGCAGAATAATTGCATAATAAAAACCTGGTCTGGAAATTCCCTTAGCCAAGTTGTTGCTTTTGTTTGCTTACCTTTTTGCAACTGTTTGAATTTTACCTATGTAAAATGCTTGGAACTTACTCTTGCAATTGGGTTTCTTTTTGAATTATCTTCTCCTTCCCTACAGGCAGCAGCAAATTTAATCCATTCTCGTTTCTGCCTCCGATGGGTTTTCCATCTCTCCATTCCTTTTTCGTTCCATTCTTTTACCTTGAATAAAGGACACACCAATATTATTAGACCAACTAAATGGCATCACAGGTATGTAATAGTACATTTAAAATCCGAAATAGAATAGATTAGCTGCGCATTGTCTGTTGCTTTTTGCTTAAAAAGAAGCCCTTCACTAGTTTTCTAACTTCACAGAATATTTCCAGATATCCAGATGTTTTAAGTAGAATGGTCTAATCCTAGGAAGCTGTAAACTGGGAAAGAAATACCACCAGAATTGGTTCTCTGTTAATGTGAGAATTTGATTCAGAGGGCCATATTATCTCAAGACACAGAGCAGTGGGTCACTGGGAAGACTGATAACTCCAGGCCAGTATCCTGAAGGATGCAGAGGAAGAACATGTGTGAAAATAAGAATATATGCTGGGAATGCTTTTCCTATGGTTATCAAAGGCTCAAGCAATAAGGAGGGCTGAGTCTTGCATACTGATTTACAATAAATAGTGTTTTTCTAGCAAATCTCAATTAGATTTGTATTGTACACATTACTAGCAAATGAACTGAAATGATTGTTACCTCAACATGAAAAGTACCAATGCTGAAATCCAGGGACACCTGGAAAAGAAACAAGGACAAAGTAAACACAATGGTCTCAATAACTCTGACTCTTTAGATAGTTGAAATACATGGAGAAGAAAAAAAAAGAATCCTATTGCACAAGATCATAATGTAGAAACTAGTTTCGTGTATATTTCTTTCTTTGCAACACAACTCTGTTTTTTCTTTGAATTAGAAGTTCCTTCAGTTTAAATTAGCACACATCTCACTTTTAAGTTTACTTCCACTCATCTCTGACTATTGGCAATGTTGGTTGAGGCTGGTTCCATAACATTCAGAGCATCATGAGTATCCCACTCTTAGTTTTAACAAATTTGATTGAAAAAAACCCCAAATTGGTAAAACAAAGTTTGATTTTATTTTAAAATATAATATCAAGCCCTTTAAACCTCCTAAATCTCAAATGTGACAGTACGTCAATAATTTTAGATAGAACACAAAGAAGTTATGCCTCTTAAAATAGATGGCTTCAATTACACGTATAATTAAAATGTCTGATAAAAATCCCTACTTTGTAGGATAAAGTCGAGCAATTTAAAGACAAAGAAGAAGAAAAAAAGCAATAGTACAAGTTCTATAAATTTTGGTATAAATGTTGCTCTTTCACCAAATGATTGTTGACACTAAGGTTTAGACATTTGCTTTAAAAATGGGAATCTATGATTCTTGGAATATTAAGCTACATGGTTTATACTACTCTATTTTCAACAAATACTGCAATCATGCCTTTGCAATAAATATTCAAGTTGTAATTTTGCTCCATATGTAAAGGAGAACATGGGCACTTTCTATGTCTTAAGGCTTCTGGAATGACAAGCCACTCCCAGGCTATGAAGATTTTTGAGATGATTCTTCCCATAGCACCAAAAATCTGGGTGTGTCTGTAGAAGCATAAGATATGTGTGAACTTCATTTGGGTTTAGGTGAAGACTGAAATTTTGATTCATGATGCACTATCCCAATATTTCTGGCTTCTGGCTTGTTTTATATATTTTAATGTTTGTATTACTTATTTGTTTTATTTTAAATTATAGAATATATATAGGTTGAACATTGTCTGTAGATGGACAGCTTGTCAAATGATCTAGATATGTTTTAAAATGAAATAAAAGACAAAGCAGTTTGGGTATATATGTATGGGGACTTTCTAGAGCTACATCTTCCCCATGCATTCAGATTATAAACACACACACACGATTATACAATACATAATATAATATAGGACAATTATATTACTCTACAACACAACATCAAGTTCATACAGTGAAGCTTACTGACAGTCTTGTCACAGAGCCTGATGTTAAGAGGGAATAGTTGGGGTGGGGACTATCTCTGTGCTAGGGAGCATTAGAACTTGTATCTCTCTATTCTTAATCTAACACTTTAAGTACTAAACAATACTGGTTCTCCAAGGGACCATAAGGGACTTAAAAAAGAAAAAGAAAGAGGAATTGCACATGAGAATCAAGCAAAATTATTTTCTATCAGTTACATAATATTTATTTTAGCGTAATGACAGCATAGTTATTTGAGCATTGATGTGAACAGAGAGGCTAGAGCACATGAGATGGTTTTAACCATTTTAAATCTTAAATTTGTACACAATCCAAAGTGTGCTTGAATTGCAATGGCAAACAAAACTTATATTCATGCATCTGGTTGTGCTAATGATTTTTTTTTTAAATAATTGGAATACTTTGTCCAATTAAATTAAATTGGCAGCTGTGAAGTAATATTTAAATATTCAAATTTAAATAGCAGGAACAAAAAATGGTATATTACAATTTCTTTTGATGTTATGCTGTAGTTTCTCCTATAATAAATTTTAGATTGTATGTTTTCCAGGACAGAAACCTGTCTTGCATCTTGAACTTGTTATTTCAAAAGCCACGTATTTGATAGCCCCAGAACAGTTTAAGTCTTTTGGGAATGTGATGACCATAAAATGAAATAGCCAAAAAAATCTCCCAAACTCTCTCAGAAATAATTTTGTCAATATAGATAAGATAAGATAAGATAAGATAACCTTTATTATCATTTTTATACTGTGGGCACAATGGCACACATCAAAAATGAAATTTAGTGAAACACATACATGACACACACCTAAACATAAACAAACATACACACACACACACACACACACACACACACACACATAAAGAGTGGCTACATAATTTGGTTATACTGGGGGGGGGGATTATAGAAAATTGATCCATCAGCAGATGTAATGTAATAGAACGAGATAGGATTAGGATTAATCTCTACTTGCTATTTAAATCTTTCAGGTCCTTTTGCAAAAATTATTTAATTATTAGTTATTAATATTTTTTTTCAGCTAATAGCAAAGAAAAGATTATAAAGTCCCTCCCGTACTATCCGAAATGATGGAAAGGCCTGGCAGCTTGCAAGTGCTAAAGATAATAGTTTTCAAAAAAAAGCAGCACTGAAGAAAGTTTTTCACACTCAGGCATGTTTTATGAGACAAGAAAGAAGAAAGGAAGAGCTGTTCTTGTATAGAAGAGTGTAACTAACGCTAAAGAAGCAATTGTTTTTTCAATGTGCTTATTATGGCTTTGCCTCACCTCCCCATGATAAAGTTATTCATTATAATTCCATAGCACTTTTTTAGGTCCAATGATATGGGTGGTTCCTAGAACTGCAAACTTAGATAGGTGCATACTGAGTAGGTTTTTTTTTTTTTTACTTCTTTACAGGTAGAAAGGGATCCTGCTGCTCAAGAGTTCCGAACCAGTTTGAAACCACTTTTGGCAATTGTTTTCCCATGAGATCAGCAGTATTGGAGAGCTGAGATTATTTATTTCTGGTTCAACAGCTATGTAATTAAACTTACTGCTGAGCTAAGATTTTTTTTAATGCTCTGCCTTCCTTTGCCTAGTGGAAGGAACTGTTGCCTTACTCCTTTTCCCACCTTTAATGTTCAAGTCCTGTAAGGAAACTCTTCCTTTGATGGTTTTCCCAACTCACGACAAGAGTTTTGTTGGTTTTCCCCTTACCTGCAGAATTTAGGAGATAAAATTTTGGGCTGTTTTCTGTTCTTTTCTTTCTTTTGGCTTTCTGCAGGAATAGTGGGATTTTTATTGTTGTAGAAACTCAGGGTGAAGTAGTTATGGTCTCTCCTTGTTGTCTGTATATCAAGTGGGCAGCAGGAAAAGCAATTATGGGTAGTCTTTATATTGTTGCTAAAGGTTTGGGGAGATGAAATAGTGGATGCATGACATTGCCCCTGGACAGGGCAAACAGCAAGTTCCAGTCTGCTTACTGCATTCAGTTGCAGATAGGAAAAGTCTATCCCTCACTTCCCAATAGCAATTTTCAATTCAATGAAAGTCAATTTGCTTTATAAATTATTTCAAAGCAGAAGACAATTTGGGACAAATCCAAATAGGAAGTGTTGATGTACTTGTTTAGTTCCATGATAGTCAAAAGCAGGTGTGTGTCTATATTGTGTCTTTCTCTGGATAGTTCTTCCTCTGTCTACTCTGCAGTCTTTCTGATTTCCTATATTTCAATTAAATCCAGAAGATTTCACAAGAGAACTTCTTCCACTGGACTTTTAAATTTTATTTATTTATCCAATTTATTGGCTGCCCATCTCACCACAGGATAAATAGAAGGCCTTATTCAATTTTTACAGGGAAATCTTGATTTTGAGAAATCACTGATGAATTTCTCCTTCAGAAGAAATTCAGAGAATATATGTTCAACCAATTTCTCTGCTAAACATTTGGGGGAGAAGAAAACCATCTGGGCAGTGGTGGGATTCAGCCAGTTTGCATCACTTCGGCAGAACCAGTAGCTAATTTTTTGTTGGCTAGGCCCAGAATGGACTTCCAGAAGTGGCATCCACACAGAGAACCGGTTGTTCTCACACATTTGAATCCCATCACTGCACATGGGCCTATCCCAGTTGCATTATTCTGACTTCTCCTTTGATAGGTAAGGCTATTGTTACTGACCATTTCATACCAGTTTGACCTCAATTGCTAAGGCTACAGTGGATTTCCCAAAGCCTGCTCCTCTGGGAATTCGTCAGAGCTTAATTCAGGGTGTGGTGGGTGGTGAATGTTTATGTAGGACTTGCTTACATACCTCCTAATGACAGGTATACATCCTGACTTTCATTCTATATCAGCTGCAGGGAAAAAAAGAACCAATCCTAGATACCCTATTGCATGACTCATAATAAGATATGTCTGACTTTTCTGCCCTGCAATTGTTATGGAATCAAGATCTTGCTATACTTCATTAAGAGACATGGGCTTCAAATGCAATGATGCCATATGGGGATATCTTTTGTGTTTGGTATACACCAAACAATATTCTCAATCTCTGCCATAATAAATAGTTTGTAGGTTATTCATTGATGGTTTAAGAGAATAGCAGAATTGGCTGAATTAGAGAATTAGAATTGCAAATCCTCAGATAATTCTCTAATTCTCTTAATACTTGCTAAAAAGATTCTATCATGTCCTTTCATATAAAAATAGAGTGACAAAACATTCTTTGGTAGTAGGTATTAATAACTTCAGTATAATATTTATCATTGGGAATGGAACATTCCTAGTAAGCCTGTTGAGAATAACTTTTGAATTGAAATATTTTAGGTCACAGTAATTATATAAATTTTTGTATTGAGTAATTTTTTACTAGAATATTTACTTACTATTATTATTTACTAGAATAAATAACAACTGCATCAAAATACAAGAGTGTTCATGAAGGCTCTTCAGGTAGGTTTAAATAAGGTTTGCACAAAAGAACTTAATGATGCCTTCTGCTCTTCATTAGAAGAGAAGCACTAAGTACAATAGATGTGTTTTATGTTTATTATGTGATACCTGTTAAGAAATTATTTACCTGAAGGAGAAAAATATAAGAACCCCCCCCTTCATTTCTTAAGAAGAGACAAGCAGATACATTGGTCCCTCTCAGCTATAATTTGTTGTTAAAGAAAAGAGAAGATGTGTCATTCC